AATATTTGAAACTATAACAATGACTAAGTATGTTTTAGGTCCTGTTTTAAGCTATGTATAGACTTTCTCCATCACTTTTTATTACTTCTTTGTAGAATCCCAGAGCTGAAGGGACTCAGCCATCACCTACTCTGGCCTCTTCCTTTTACACAAGCCACTTTCTTTAGGATTCCTTCCTTCCTTCTTTCTTTCATTGGTGTTGTCAACAATTGGGTGCTGCAGCCGGAGATACAACAGTGAGTAGAACAGAGCTCTAGTCTTCACTGAGCTCACAGCCAAGTTGCGGAAATAGATAAGTAAGGAAGCAATTTTAATACTATATGAAAAATGCATATTAGGGGACTTAACCTGGGTGGGGGGGGCATTAGAGAAGGAGTCCTGAAGGAGGCAATGAGTGTGCTGATATCTAAAGGTTTGAGTAGAGCTTGAATAGATGAAAAGTTGGAGTGCAAAGAGGGCTCCAGGAAGAAGAAATAGATACACAAAGATAGGGAAGATATAAGGAGATCCTCGTGCTAGGGAATAGCACTAGTGATTTGTCAGGGCCAGGACTTGAACTGAGGGATGGTAGAAGATCACACGGACCATCCCTTGGAGGGCATCATGTATGATATCAGGGAGTTTGGGCTTTATCTGGGGGGCAATGGGGAGACATTGAAGGGTTCTAAGGAAGGAAGTCATACAGTTAGATCTGCGTATTGGGAAGCTTACCCTTGGCTGAAGCATGGAGACCAAATGGAAGGAGGAGCAAATGTGGAGTCAAGGAGACTGTGGCTGTTAGTCAGAGGCCCCTTTTGTGCTGAGGACTACACTTGTGTGAAATTCACAACAAAGATCCCCTGCTGAACATTGGCCCATCTCAGGCTTGGCAAGCCCAGAGTTAAGGACCCCATTAATTCTTGGGCAGAGCTTCAGAAGTCAGCTAAAGGCCTTAGGATTAGGGTTGTCAAGTGACCTCCAGGGTCTGAGCTCTCCTACTCTCTTATCTCCTTTCCAGGGTTCTGCCCCAGAAGGTGCAGCTATTGCTTCAGCAGTAGTGGCTCCTTCTGAATCTTCCCAGCCATGACCAGAAGGCAGCTCAGGTCAAAGGCAAGGGCAGGGTTTCTCTCTCGCTCTCTTGTGCTCAGGGCCATCTCATACTTTGTTGTCTGTGTTGCTAAGGTGGTGTCCATTTCTGCAGTATGAAATTTCTCAAAAAACCCCTTCACTTTCCACCCCCAAAGCTTCCCATCCTAACCCTTGTTTTCAATTTGCTTATTTTCCAATTCCTGCTATTTGAACCATGCACAACCTCACCCTTTGAAGAAAAAGGTTCTCAACATTTTTCATATAAATGTCATAACAATTTGTGAACACGAGAAAAATGTGCAGTACTTTTTAAAAAGATACAGAATTTTATATTCTCTCCAGTCTTTTAAGTTTTAATTTTAAGAATTCAGTCATCTTTGGAGTATGAAAGGAATATTTTCTCCTGCAGAGTCCTTTTAAAAAGCAAAAACTTATTGTACGAAACTCACCTAACCACTCTGATATTTTGTAGTTGGTTTTAAAATATCTTTTTATTCTGTTTACACTCAATGAAAACACACTGGCAGATACAGAAAAGCATGAAGAGGAGAAATAAAATCATTAGTCACCCCATTGCCAAATAAAACATTTTAGTAGATTCCTTATATATATTTTTGTTCTATGCAATACTTTTTCTTTTTACAAAATTAATGCCATACTCTTTTACATTCTGCTTTTTAAAGATTCTACTATTTTCATTTAGTGAGCAATGCTATGCAAACAGGATTTTAAATACTTGCATAATAGGCCATGGTTTAACTATACCAATATCTCATTACTGGGTATACACCCAGGGGAATATAAAGCATTCTACCATAAAGACACATGTATGTGAATGTTCATTGCAGCACTGTTCACAATAGCAAAAGCTTGGAATCAGCCTAAATGCCCATTAATGACAGACTGGATAAAGAAAATGTGGTACATATATGCCATGAAATATTATGCAGCCATAAAAAAAAATGAGATCATGTCTTGTGCGGGAACATGGATGGAGCTGGAGGCTATTATCCTTATCAATCTCACACAGGAACAGAAAACCAAATACCACATGTTCTCACTCATAAGCGGGAGCTAAATGATAAGAACTTATGAACACAAAGAAGGAAACAACAGACACTGGGGTCCACTTGATGGTGGAGAGTGGGAGGAGGGAGAGGAGCAGAAAAGATAACTATTGGGTACTGGGCTTAATGCCTGGGCGATGTAATGTTATGTACAACAAACCCCCTTGATACGTGTTTATTTATATAACAAACCTTCACATGTACCCCTAAACCTAAAATAAAAGGAAAATATTTAGATCCCATTAAATAAATAAATAAATATATCAACAATCAGTAACTGCTGGCAACTTGGACAATTTAGTATTAAGTAGGTATTTGTGTTATTTATTAAATTATTATATACTCATGTGCACAGTATTTATTATTTTATATAAAAATATAAACCAAAAATGGCCCACAGTTTTACCCGCTGGATAACCCTGATTGACATTTACAAATAATAAAACCCACATGGTTAGAAAATTCAAGCAGAAATCTACACAAATGTACAAAGATGAAAACCAGAAACTCCCTCTTCCTTCTGCCTCCCAGACCTTACCCCCACAAAAGTTAAAATTTCTTGTGATTTTTTCCAGATATATTTATCTATTTATAGATGTTTCAAATTTTATGCAAGAGATTATATGCTACACACTGTTCTGTACCTTATTTTTTTCTCTTAAGAGTCATTCTTGGTGATCTTTGTGCAGCATTTCCTAAATTGGTGCATCCCTAGCTCAATAAATGCATCTTTAATTCCAGCTCTGTTAGTCAGTCATGCCTGCAGTATCATTGGCTCTTTTGCTGGGTTCTTAGATGTGAGATAAACAGATATACCACCCGCATGTCTCTGGTCTCCACCATCCCTATTTCTCCAGTTTGTAACCCCTACCCGCATGCCAGTAGGACCCTGACCCTCAGTTTCCACCATCCCTATTTCTCCAGCTCGTAACCCCTACCTGCATTCCAGTAGGACCCTGACCCTCAGTCTCCCTAGTCTTTTTGGTTATATGAGGAGGCCCCAGGGATTGTGACGTAAGTGCACAGCCACTTTTCCTTTGGTCTCTATTTCTGATGCCCAAAGTCCTTTGAAATTGCTGCCTACTACTGCCCCAAGGCTAATGTCCTCCTCTTATGCCCAGGGCACTGTCTCCCAGGGTGGGCCAGTGGATCTAATTAGTTTGCTCAGAACTGCTAAGGATTTGTGTACACATGTGTACACAAATGTATCCATGGGTGTATTCAAAGTAATAACATACAGTCTCTCCAAGAGTCAGTCCTCTCAGCTGCTGGCTTCTTCCACATAACCATTATCATTCTAACATATAACCATCCATATTCTTACTCATGCGTACTTTTGTGTGAACATTTGTCTGGAAGGGAGGAAGCCTTTGTTTTAACTGGAGATGATTATGCCTTCTGAATTGCTGTGTTTTCCACGGAGTGGCAATGAATTTTCATAGTGGCAGCTGGATGGGAACACATTACATTTTGATAAAGAAAAAGAATAATTATTTGACCTATAACCTGAGTTTCTAAGTTGTCTATCTCAAGGCAGAAGGAAAAAAAATGAATGAAGGAAAGATGGAACGAAGGATGGAAGGAGGCTGGAAGGAAGGAAGGAAAGAAGGAAAAATTCCATCTTTGTTAGGCCACAAAGCTTACGGGTTTCCATTGTAGTGGTTGAAAAAATTAGCTAAGGCCATGTCCTCCAGATTGAAGGTCAGCAGAGCCATTGTCTTTGCATCCAGAGCTATTTTTGAGGCTGCTACTGCTGCCACCTCTGTTGTCATTGTAATCATCTCCTCCTCCTCATTACTACTGGGATTACTATTATTATTTGGATTACCATTCCAGATACATGCTAAGGGAATCAAGTAATCAAAAAATTTGTTTGAGTGTACATTGTGAAACATACTTTTGGAATGATTTCCTGAGAAAGTTGGGTGCAGAATGCAAATATTTTGAATGGACTTATCTTAGAGTTGTACTGCTTTTTTTCCTTGTCATTTTAAAACCCTTAATACGAATAAATTGTTTGTATAGTGGGGCTTTTTTAAAGCCTTAGATAAGAAATACATGGTTTGAAAGCAGAGAATAAAAACATGAATGATAATGTCCTCAATGCCCAGGAGAAAGTCCTTGCTGCTGCTCCTGGACAGGCATTATAATCGACTATTTGGCGTGTTTATTTCAGGCTACAGATAGTGGATAAAAGTGGCTGGTTGGTTGCCAGCACATGACTTAGTTGCCAAATGGAGTGTTTAGTACTTGTTACATTTGACTTATATCACAAGTTCTTCCCATTAACAGTCTGCTGGTGATAACCTACTTGGCTTTTCATGTGGTTACTTTGAAACAGCCACTTGACAACATTTGGCGTATCACAAACTTTAATACTGAAATAAAGGAGTGAGTGAATGGCTACATGGGATCTGCCATATACTGATATGGTGCTTGGTGCAGAATGGGCTCCCCAGGAAATGTCTGTTTAATCAATGAATTCATCTTGCATAATATTTCCCTAGTTCAGTGTACCAAGTTCAAGCCTATTGACCTGAGACCTAAAAGGCTGGTAAAAGGGATAGAAATACAAAGAAATAATAGTGCTTACATATGTGTCAGAAGGGCTTACCTTTGTATGGAGGGAGATGCTCTGCTCCTCTGTATCACCATTAAATACAGAGAGTTGAACTATATGGAGAAATGAAGATGTCATCAAAATGGCCTTAAGTCTAACCTCAAAGCATAACCTCATAATACTGACAATTTCTATCATTTCAGGTCTTTTTTTTTTCTTCTTTTTTTATTGATAGATCCACTTCAGGAATTTTGGCCCAGGATATGTAATCAAATATGCACTAAAATACTGATTTTTATTTTTAGATTGAAAACTTGCAAGAACAACTTAGGGATAAAGACAAGCAACTGACCAACCTGAAAGACAGAGTGAAGTCCTTGCAGACAGATTCCAGTAATACAGATACTGCACTGGCGACGCTAGAGGAAGCTCTGTCAGAGAAGGTGAGCATGCACTCAAGAACTGGGGAATCAGGATGTGGGGAAACAGAGTTGGGGAAAGTTAATCCAAATGCATTTAAATGTGCCTGCTTTTCTTCTTTTGCTAACACTACCTTTAGTCCCAGCTGGTCCTTGTTCTCCCCACACAAGCCCTCTTCAGTGGACTTGGCATACTACAGCCAGGGGCATTTTCTGAAATGCAAATCTGATTACATCACCCTTGGCTCTCCTTAAAAACCTTCACTAGCTTGCCGTTGCTCTTATGGTGACATAAATTGAAGTCCTCTACCTGGCCCCCAGGGTCCCGTCTCCCATCTGATCTGGCAAGCCCCCACACTGTGTGCCTGCTCCCTCCCTCATTCTTTCTTTCATTTCCAGCCTCATCCCCCATCTCTCTTTTTCCAGGTTCTCTGTGCCCTACTTATGTGGGGCTTCCAGATTTTCAAGTGTACCATACTCCTTCCTGCCTCAGACTCTTTGTAGATGCTATTCCCCAGCTGAGGATATTCCTCACTCTCTGCAAATTTAATTCCTCCTCTTCTGAGAGGTCAGCTTCATGAGAAGTTGTATTGTGCAGTAGTCAAGAATGTGGACTTTGGAGCTAGACTGCCTGGGATCAAATCCTAGGTCTGATACTTTCTACTGTGGACAAATTACTTAACCTCTCAGTTTCTTCATTTGTAAAAGGGGGTAATAATAGCAACCTCAGTGGATTATGTTGAGGAGAAAATGCAGGAAAATATGGAATGTGTTTAGAATAGGAGATGTAATGTTATCACTATTATTATTATTATTTGATCATTTCCTTAGGGACACCTCCTAGGTATCCCCGTTATGTCTCAAGAACACCATAAACTCCCCAGAGCTCATGTCACATTCTTAATTATCCATTTATCTGTTTTTAATTTCTCTTCTCTGCTAGACTCCAAACCCAAGAAACATATCCTATGTGTGTGTTATCTTTCCATTCCCTGTGCCCAGCATAACCTGCATCGGGGATGCTCACTCAGTAGTGGATACTGGTTGCGTGAGCTGCCACCATGTGACAAGTCCTCTTTTAAGCCCTGGGATGCAGCAGAGAAGAAAATAGGTGAAAATCCTGGCTCTAACAGAGTTTAGACTGTAGTGGAGGTGATGGGGAGACAGATAATAAATAAGTGACATACCTAGGATTTCAGAGGGTAATATTTTCTATAAAAGAAAAGAAGGCAGGGAGGGGTACAGGGAGTGCTGGAGTAGAATGGCCAGGTAGGAGCTTGCTGAGAAGGTGACATTTAAGGAAACACTTGAAAGTGAGTGGTGAGCCAGGAGCCCTTGTGGAGGGAGAATGTCCTGGCAGAGGGAAGAGCAAGTACAAGGGTATGGGGGAGAGGAAGGGCAGCAGATTTCATAGGCCCTTGTGAGACAAGATTTTAAAAAATTGGCTTTTACTTTGAAGGGGATGGGATGCCATCCTGAGGGTTTCCTTCTGACTTACATTTAAAGGGATTAATTTGAATAAAAGAATGAATGAATAAAATCCTTTAGGCAAATAGCTCATTCTGATGTTTACTTACTTTTAAAATGATTTCTCGTCCATTTCATTCTGACTAAATGAGTTCATTCATTCTCTGGGCACCTATCGCAGGTATCAGACTCTGGAGTTGAGTTTGCATATGCTCTCTCCTCTCCTCCAACACTTCCTGAATGTAAGAGCCAGTGCAGGTACAGTTCTCTAGGAATCCTCAGGAGGGACGGCTTGTTTGTTGGTTGAACATGGACTGTGCTGGCACAGTTTTTAGGCCTATGTTATTGGCATTATTCTCAAATTTAGCTTGAAACCAAGAAAAGAAATGTTAACTTTTAAAGTGTAGGAGCAGATTTTATTATGTTCTTTTTCTTTGTCTTTCTCATCCTTTTTGATTCTGCAGCACTTTGCAGGATTTGTCCATACATGCATAGGATGTTGTGGGGGTTTTCCTCTGGGATGCCCTACTAGAGTAGTAGATTATCTCCTATATTTCCTGTTATCACAGCCTATAAACTCTGGGGTATTGAAGTAATTAGAAGGAGACCTAGGGGCCAGTCCCACCTATGCCACTAATTAACTGGGGAGCCATTAATTAACTGAGTGAGCCTGTCAAGTAATTTTCTCTCTCAGGGCCTCAAATTTCCCATATGATGAATGGGGGAATTAGATTAAATGCCCGTGGGTTTCCTAAGCCAGTGTATCCTAAAGAAGGCTTCTCTTCTGTTACTATAAAATTACCAGGAAGTCTCTGTTGAAAGTCTCTATTATTAGGCCCCATCTCTACCTACCAAATCAGAACCTCACAGGGCCTGGGAATCTGCACTTTAGCAAGTTCCCCAGGTCATCATGATGTAAACTGTAGTCTGAGAACCAAGGCTCTGTGATAAAAGCCTGAAAGCTACAAAAAGATGGGTAAGCATATTTTTGGAGTTAAATTAAAAAGTTATTTAAAAAATAAAAGAAAAAAATGAAGCTACAAAAAGACCCATGAGTCTAGAGCTAGTCTTCATGGTCCTAAATGTAAAACCCAGAACTATAAAAACTCAAGAAGAAAATCTAGGCAATACCGTTCAGGACATAGGTATAGGCAAATATTTCATGATGAAAATGTCAAAAGCAATTGCAACAAAAGCAAAAATTGACAACTAGGATCTAATGAGACTCAAGAGCTTTTGCACAGCAAAAGAAACTATCATCGGAGTGAACAGATAGCCTACAGAATGGGAGAAAAATTTTTGCAATCTATCCATCTGACAAAGGTCTAATATCCAGAATCTGCAAAGAACTTAAACAAGTTTACCAGAAACAAACAACCCCATTAAAAAGTGGTCAAAAGACATGAACAGAAACTTCTCAAAAGAAGATATTTATACAGCCAACAAACATGTGAAAAAGAGCTCAACATCACTGATCATTAGAGAAATGAAAATCAAAACCACAGTGAGACACCATCTCACACCAGTCATAATAGCAATTATTAAAAAGTCAAGAAACAACAGATGCTGGCGAGGCTGGGGAGAAAAAGGAATGCTTTTACGCTGTTGGTGGGAATCTAAATTAGTTCAACCATTGCGGAAGACAATGTGGCAATTCCTCAAAGACCTAGAACAATAAAGAACATTACTGGGTATATACCCAAAGGAATATAAATCATTCTATTATAAAGATACATGTGTGTGTTATGTTCATTGCAGTACTATTCACAATAGCAAAAACATGGAACAAACCCAAATGTCCATCAATGATAGACTGAATAAAGAAAATGTGGTACATATATACCATGGAATATTATGCAGCCATGAAAAGGAATGAGATCATGTTATTTGCAGGGACATGGATGGAGCTGGAAGCCATTAAACTCAGCAAACTAATGCAGGAACAGAAAACCAAACACTGCCTGTTCTCACTTATAAGTAGGAGCTGAACAATGCGAACACATGGACACAGGAAAGGGAACAACACACACTGGGGCCTGTTGGGAGGGGTGGGAGGGAGAGAGAGTGTTAGGAAAAATAGCTAATGCATGCTGGGCTTAATAGCTAGGTTATGGGTTGATAGGTGCAGCAAACCACCATTACACACATTTACCTATGTAACAAGCCTACACGTCATGCACACCTATCCCAGAATGTAAATAAAATATAGCAAACAACTAAAATGAGGCTTTTGTAAGAAAAAAATGTAGAGTTTGACATTGAGTTACCTTATTTGACATCATATTTAGTATGTATTTCCAAATTAATTTTGCTCAAAAAATCCATGGAGGAGAAACAGTTGCTGGTTAATAAACTTATAAATCCTGTAACAATTTAAAACATTTGAAAGATTATAACTTCAGGATTAAAGTATAAGAATTATAAGGTTTTACTTGAAAACTTACAAGAATATTTAATAAGATGACTTTTGGGGGAAAGATACTCTCTTTTCATCTTCTAATAATTTATTTCCAGAGCTCTCTGTAGTAGTTTTATTTGTAAAATTGGAATGAGGGGATGTTTGTTCAAAAACTATTAATGCTTATGTGTTCATTAGCATATTTTGGGTTGTATGATATCATCCCATTTCTACCTCTTGATTTCTTTCTTAAAAATCACAGAAGTAAACCTATACCATATAATTTTTCATGTCATGAATTCTTGGCAGGATTTTATTATTTTTTTCTGGACCTTATTAAGATTTGATTTATTCTAGCTTAAATCCCAAAGTAATTCCCAAATCTGAAACTACTCCCTTTATTTAAGTACTTCCTTTGAGACTGAGGGGGTGTCTGGGAAGGAATCTGAGGTCTGTGGGAGCCTGGCTCCCTTGGACTGTCTTCACTGCTTGATAGTTACATCACCTGGGCAAGCCTCTTCTCTCAGGGTCTCAGTACCTCATCTTCAAAATACACATTTTTATTAGCTGACCTCTAAGTTTCATGCTGTCCTGGAACTCCCTTGACAATGAATTATGAAGTTTGCCGATCTGCAATCTCAGGCTCATGGCATCTGAATTGGACCATAGATAAGGAGTTGAGAACTTAGATGATTAGAAGGGCCAGGGAGGGAACAAAAATGAGGGATGTGGCTTTGCTGAAGTGTAGTAGGGACTACTGGTGACTATGGTAAGCTGCAGGTCCCTGGTCTATTTCCAAACATTCAAGTTCAGATTTTTAAAAATTATGATGCTCAAGTCAAACAAAAGAGCTCTGCATACTGGCTTTGTGAGCTATTTATTTCCAAATTCTGTTTGCATCTGGTTTTTAACTTTTCATAGCAATGAAGAATAAAAGCAAACATAGAGCAATGGATGTGGAGGGAATTTTTTAAAGGTGCCAAAATCAGAATGCCTAGTGTATTTGAAAAGTACAGATAAAACTATTGAATAGGAACTGGCAAGGTTCTCTATCTTAGGACAAAGAATAGAAGATTTATTTTGAGTATTCCAGTATGCATCAAACCTTTGTGTGTATCCAAATAATCTTATCATCTAGGAGGTTTCTTAAAATACAGTTTCCTGGGTCCTATTTCCTAGAGATTCTGATTCAGCTGCTCTGCTGTGGAGCCCAGGAACCTCTGATTTGTAAACATACTGAAGGGTTCTGATCCAAGTGGTCAGAAGGCTACATTTTGAGAAACACTAAGTCTATGCTCTTCCATTTTAAGATGGGAAATGGGTTCAATGAGGTGAAATGACTTGCCCGGAAATAAAAATATTGACATGTACCGCATCATCCCCCATTTCTGGGCCTAGGAAGACATCGCTAATTAATCATGACACATGCTAACTTCTCAACCCACTGCTCCTGGAAGCCGTTTCCACCCTGTCTAAGCTGGTCGTTGGTTGAGACTTTGCTGCCTCCTCTGGACTATACTAAGGCCACCTAGCTCACAGGTGATAGAATAAGACTAAAACTCAAAGATCTTTGTGCTTTTGGCAACATCACAATCTCCTTTAAGTGGAGTTTTGCTCACAAGTCCCATTTTTATCCACATTTAATTGCACAGATCCCTCTGTAACAAGGCATGCTATGAAACAAAATGATTAATAAAAACTCATGGATTTTTAAGTACATTTAATTATTTGCTGTCTTTTGGCTGATGAAAAGAATCTATCAGGCAGTATTCACCATTTCCCCTGGATTATGGCATCCTAGGGAGTATGTTATTCCTTTTAATTTCCAGGAACTTATTCAACTATTAACAGAGTGCAAAGAATAATGCCTCTCCGTGAGTTAAGATTGAATATGACTTAGTTCTAGGATTGACACACAGAAGCTCAAGAGACGGAACCCACTGTATTTCTAAAGCTGGTCTCGCCAAGCCTTGCTGTAGCCACATAGCAGATAAGCAGTGGAGAAAGCCAGATAGTGGAGCTGGAGGCCACTGTAATTTAGTTCCCACCCTGTGATAAAGCACAAATAGATTAAACCTGTGCAGAGCCAGATGAGTGCACAAGGAATGCTTGCCAATGCAAATAAGACTAAAACAAGAACACATTGTTGGAATTTCTGCAAGTTAGTTGTTAATCAAGTACATCATGGCATATTAGGGCCTTTTAACACATGTTTTTGACATCTGGCCCTGCGCGGCTGACAGTTAAATTGGTTTTGTGATTGACGGAGAAATATTTTGTAGTATTGAATCATCAATAACACTTAAAAACATTATAGTGCTTGTTGATTTTTTTTGTCATCAATGCCCAGTCAATAGTACAAGTGATTAGAGCAAATCGACCTACTTTCCAAACGATTCTGACACCTTCTGGCTGTTAACATGCCTGCTTAATTTTATTACCTTTTCTTTGAAGCCAAGATGATCCCTCATTTGAGTTCTCCTTCCTTCCTTCAGCTCTTTTAATTGCTTGTTGTATGCCAGATGATTCGCCCAGCTGTGGGTCAAAAAGACTCAAAGGATTTTAGTGCTGCCCTCTTGAAAGTAGGGCTGGGAGGATGATCATGCGGTGAAACCATGTGAAGGCTGCTGAGTGGGAATAAGTGCCACGTGGTCCAGCCAGAGGGATTCCTGGGAAGGTTTCCAAATAGTGAGGCGACAGGTCATTTTGGAGCTTTAGAAATGTCACTCCAACAGCCATGTAGTGGAAGTGATGGGACGGAGAAGTGACTGGGTAATTGGTTGTAGTGTAGACAAAAGGCAGCAAAGGCTCAGTTGCTGAAATCATTGAAAACTCTTCAGAGACTGACCACATACTGTAGCCATTTCCTTCTCTTGTGGATCACATAGTCATCCACTCACCATTGTCACGGGTAGGTAAACTAGGTCTGGGATCAAGAAGAAACAGATATAGGCAATTAATCGATTCATTTATTATATTTCTGCCTCCTCTATTATAATAATATATTTCATTTAAAGTGTTTTTAAGTAATTGGAAAACAGTAATGGTACCTCCTCTGCCGAAAGCATTAGATACATAAATTATTGTCAGTGGGGTAGAACAGTTGCTTCCTCGGGGGATCTTAAATCATAGGAGAAGTGTTCAAACTAACTTCCCTCTGCATTAAATACTATTTTACAGTTGTCTTATTTATCAGGCATTGTCTTGTGCTATGCAATTATTATAAGAATATAAAAGATAATATCAGGATCCTTGGCCACAGTTGTTGCACCAGTATTTTTTAACATGACCATTCGAGAGGAAGTTTATATATGTGTTGGATAATTTCAAACTGATTTCAGAAATCTAACTCAAGCTTTACGCAGATGGAATTTTCGTGTGCGTGTGTGTGTGTGTGTGTGTGTGTAAGTTTCTTACTTTGATATCAGGCAGGTTCCCTATTTTTGGAAAAGAAGTCTACAAAGCAGTGTTTTCATTTCAGTGTGAAAGTCAAAGGCAGACCTCCCCGAATGGCTCCAGGTGTATGTTTGTGGCAGTGTGGTCTCATGGATGCGGCTGACAGTCCGAGAGCCGAGGATGTGGGAGGCCTTCTGTTTATGACCTGGGCCACCTTGCGTCTCGGAGCTCTGGGTTTCCTCACCTCTACACTGTCACCAAGAGCACTGGATATGCCCTTACGCTTGTGATGAGGACTGATGAGGAGAGCGCATCACAGTGCCTAGCATGTAGTAAGCCCTCAATAAAATAAAGCTGCTGCTGAACTTTGTTCAAACTCAGCCAGTGTTTTGGAGTCTCTACTGACTATCAAGAAACCATTGACAAAACAGAGAAGTAAACATCCTCAGACACACTGGAAAATCACATACACAATGGGCTGATTCTTTGTCTCAAGTTCTCACAATGAGTCCCAGCTCTAAGTCCTGGAGGGTTTGGGTCTTGCCCCACTTCATTCCCATCCAGCCAGAGAACAGTCTTCAGAAACCAATGAAGGCTCTTGGATGCCAAATGAAGAGGCTAAGCAAAGAGGGCTGAGCCAAGAGGCATGTTCTGCTTCTCCTTTCCTGTGCGAGGCTGTGTCAGGTCTGGAGTCTTGGTGTCTGAAGCTCCCTCTTCTAGAGCTGCTCTAGAAATTTGCTGGATACTACCATGAACCAAGAGCAGCCACAGAACTTGAACATTAAGTTCCTTTGCAGCCCTGTGATGTTAACTTTTATTAACAAGTCAAAAGCTGTATTGGTTGTCCTTCCCAAGTGCTGTTATGCACAGCCTATCCCCATGAATCCAATTTTGAGTTTCTTGTGTGTGTTGATTCCTGTAGAGCATTTCTTGGATGTACTGCCTCTTGTTTTCTTTTGCAGTATGCTTTGGCATATACACTGATGGGTTCTCACCTCTTCTTTTTTGTTAATTGCCTTACAGGAGAGAATAATTGAGCGCTTGAAAGAACAGCGAGAAAGAGATGATCGGGAAAGACTAGAAGAGATAGAATCCTTCCGAAAAGAGAACAAAGACCTGAAAGAGAAGGTCAATGCTTTACAGGCTGAACTCACTGAGAAAGAGGTGAGTCTGGAAAAACAAATGAACCACATTGATAGTCCTCATAAACCCATATTCAGTGCAGCTGCAAGAGACTAGAGAGTTAGTTGGAGGCACTATATGAAGGCTTGGGGAATGTGGTAACTTTGCTTTTGTAAAGCTGCCTGAATTTAAAGGATTTTTTTTTTTTTTTTTGGTAACTTCCTTCATCTGTGATGCCCTATGCCTGTCTTCTCTGCTCTGCTAACTATATACAATGTAGCTCCTTGAAACTTTTCTTTATGTCTTACCACATTTGCATGGCTTAAAGGATTCTATAGTTTTCACAGGCCCACGATCCCTTGCTTGAGATAACAACAGCAGCGATGATTATAATAATAATGTCTCTACTTTATTAGAGTGTCTGCTATATACTATTCCTTGTGTCGAGTGCTTTACATTCATTTGTACTTTCCAAAGGGAACCACCCAATTTCCTCAGGTTAGGAGATGTGGTACCATGCTGGACCCCAAGGTAGAGCTTAAATGTGGCTGCTCTTCTGGCATATTATTTTTACATTATAGTAAATAATTTAGAGCTGTATTTTTTTATGCCATAGCAAACATGAATACAGAATATGAGTGCTACCTGTATTTTAAGAGTAACATCTTACACTTTAAAGAAATTCTTGCTTGGGGCTTATGAAGAGGGTGCTTTGGACTATTCCTCCATTCTTCAAGCGATCCCTATAACCCTCTCAGTTTTCTTGGGGATAGTTTGGTGGAGAAGTATGAGAAGCAGTAATTACACATTATTTTATTTAATCCTCACAACTCTGAGATATGTGGAGATTGCCTGCAATTGGCCCCTTCACACTTACTTTTGTCTGCTGTAACTGTCCATCTTCTTTAGAGCTGTCATAGACCTTTCACCCTGCAGGACGGTACCGCAGCACAGTTGTCTATCTCCCAGCTCCGCAGTATTTCCTCACTCATGGGGTACTGATAATTCCACACAAATTAAAGTCCTGAATAAATTAGGGATGTAGATGAAGAAGGAAAAGAATGGATGAGTAAGAGGAGTTTCGAGGAAACCCAGAAATAAAATCTGTATTTCCTAAAATTTAAACCTACTTATTTTTTAGAAAGGAGCTTCTTTGTTACGAAAATAAAGAATGGAGTTCTCTTCCTAGCTTCCACTGCTGCTTCTGAGTAGGAGGATCTGTGATGCCTTAGTTTGTATGCGACAGAAGATAGGAAAGCTTTGACTTTGTTTATAGCATATTCTTCTCTAGTTGCGGGTGTTATTTGTGGGCTTGCACCTTAAAATCAATGTATATATTTCTAATGGAAAGAGATCTTGATGACGTGGTGGAGCATAAGCTGTAAGTGAAAGTAGTTTTGTAAATAATGCCAACATTGTATGACTTTCAGATAGACATTTTGGTAAACATTTGTTGTTTCTGCATGATGTGCTTGGCACTGGGCTGGGTGTGTCAGTCAGGGTTCTGCCAGAAAAACAGAACCACGTTAAACATTTTCTACAGATTAAGAGCTTTATCATAAGGAATTGGCTTACACAGTTACGGAGGCTAGGCGAATTCAAAATTCACAGAACAGGCCATCAGCAAAAGCAGACTGGAAGGTCTCAGAAGCTGATGCTGCAATCAATAGGTGGAATTTGTTCTTCCCCAGGGAAACCTGAATTCTGCTCATAGGCCTTTCAATTGATGGGATCAGGCCCACACAGAATACTGAGGATAATCTCCTTTACTTAAAGTCAACTGATGGTAGATTTTAGTCATGTCTACAAAATGCCTTCTATTAGCAACTCCTAGATTAATAACTGGGGACTAGAGCCTAGCCAAGTTGATTAAAACTGGCTATTGCATCCGGCAATTTAAAATTTATGAAGGAAAACAATATGCAGTTGCCGTCAGCAGGGAGCTTATGATTTAATTGGAGTGATGATAGTCTTCACCATGACAAAGTGACTGGATTATAATGTCCTTTCTTATTTCTGTGGGAATTATATAACAAAGGACATTGAAATTGGAATTGTAGACCTGGGTTTGAGACCTATATCTGCCTTTACTAGCTAAGAGACCTTTGACAAGATGCTCAGCTGTTGTAAGCCTCTGTTTCCTGATGTGAAAAATGAGAATGGCTCACCTGTTCCTCAGAGGGTTTTAGAAGCACCTTGCTGGATGATGATGACTTTTATCATAAAGGTCATTCCAGTGCCAATGAAGCCACCCAGCATAAATTATTAGCCGACATCGTTTACAGAGAGACCATTGTGTCCTTAGTGTCTTCCTAGGTGATGCAAATGAGTAAGAAGGAAATGCATGGAGTCTGTTTTGGGGTAAAACCTGTACATCTCAGTCACGTAGTTAGATGTTGCTATTTCTTATTCAATGACAAACATTGCTCTTTTAGGTTGCAAAGTCATGTTCAGTGATATATGCAAGTATTTATTTCTTTAGTTTTTGGAATTCAGACTATATGTGGAACCTATTGGTTTCTGGACATGCTTAGTGACTGGAACAATTTAGGTAACCCCATGTCTGAGTTGGAAAGATTCATCACATCTGTCAAATCTAGATTGCAAAGGACGTGAACATAAAGTTTACTCTAAATTTTAAAATAATTTTATGTTTGATTTTCCAGAAGATGTTTGTAAAACCATTGATCGTTTCTCTGTTAAAGAGATGGGATTTGATAAAAACGTAATAGGAGGCTTCTTTTATGTTTGACTTGCTCTTGGGAGCGGAAGCATTAAAGTCAGTATTTTCTTTCATATTTGTCTCAGAGTCTGCATAGTCTGACAGCAATAAATGTAAATGGAAGGTTCAGGGTGTCTGTTTTGCTATGACATGTAAAGACCACCTTGGGACTTACATCATTAGCATGACTTTGAGACATGAAACATGCATTTACTGACCACACCATTTGGTCACATTTGATTCTACGGCAATTAGATCCTACTCATTCTGTAAGCTGGCCAACTTTAATTTCCTGACCAAAGCTGACTATTGTTACCTTAGTAAGATTATATTTACCCTTTCTGTCTACTGCACACTTTATTGCTATGTATAGATTCAATGTGTTCAAATTGAAGGCAGTGCTAGTAGAAATTTCAGTGTTTTACTCACTCACATTCTTTCTCTTTCAGTCTAGTTTAATTGACCTCAAAGAACATGCATCTTCATTAGCCTCTGCAGGGCTGAAAAGGGATTCCAAATTAAAGTCTCTAGAAATAGCCATCGAACAAAAGAAAGAGGAATGTAGCAAATTGGAAGCACAGTTAAAAAAGGTAAGTGAAGTCTGAGAAAAAAATCATGCTCATTTAAAAATGAATTTATAAAATGGAACAGGAAGAGACATTTTTAAAAAGAAACAAACCCCTTATCTGTTGCTGTCTGCTGATAAAAGAATTAATTAAATACTCTTAACTTTATTGCTAAGAAGTCTATCAAATCTGTCTGTGAACCTGAAAAATTATCTTAGGTTTCCTGTTTAAGAAAAACTTGAAAAATAGATGAAAATAGTAGCAGAAGTTAAAAATATTATAAAAACCAGCCATTACTCTCTGGGCAAATCTCAACTATCAACAAAGAAAAACAGAAATGTTTTCAACAAGTCGCAGAATCCGGAAGCCACATTAGATGTTAATAAACTTTTGCTACTTTCAGATGTAGGTCATTTTTTTTTTGTATTAGAACTTTGCAAAAGCTTTTCTGACATTGTTAAATTTCTAGAAGTTCACCAAAATTGTCAAGTCCCTGGCATCTCTGTAGAATGGCTATTTATATTTGACCAAAATGACCTTACTCTCTAAGAAAGCTTATTGTAGATAGAAGGCTTTGGAAAAGAAATAGGATATTTACATGGTGGCATTAACATGTTTTCTCTGACCCAGACATTTTTGTGGAGTGCATTTCCAGTCATGCATTGTTACTTTGACTTCTTCCCTGTGTTGTTTGGTATGTCTGCACTCATTGTTCACATAAAACTCATAACATTATGAGTTTAAGCATTTTGTTTCCCTTTGACAACTCATAAACTTATTCAAAAGGGATGATAAGAATCTAAACAATCAAACAAAGTATATAATAAAATTTGACTATGTATAATTCATAGCACACCGGGATGGGGATTTATCGGCTAAAGTTATGAAAATATATGACATGGATGGTCAAGGATGTGAAGGAATCGCATATCTGTGAAGGAATTACTCTGGGTATCTTAAAATGTAATATACTATTTTGTATGATGCAATATATAACTGAAATGTTACTATATGGTACTCACTTTACAGAGATAATTAGGAAACTGTCATGAGAAATTTCACACTACGAAAGTCTACTTGCTAATACAGAAAAAGATAAATACACAGATCAAATCCTGTAATAACAAAACAGCAAGAAAATCTCTATATTGCAAAATCTGTTTCCCAATCCACTCATCATCTCACTTACTTCAAGCAATATTTAGTTAAGCAGAAATCTTGAACAATAAATAAAAGAATTTAAATTGCCCATTTGAGGGTGTTTAAATGGAGAATGACTTGGATGTGATTGATGTATTGGGTATATGACATACATTCTTGATCTATATAAATGTGCTCTACAAAATGTTATCTATGATATGCATATTAAGGGATGAACTTATGAAAAATATTTTTCATTTAAAAAAATTTTATGATCATAAGGCAGGCTCTAAGCTAGCTTTGTGTGAGAGAGAAATTCACTGGCTCCTTATGACCATCCTCTGCACTATTTTACTTTAGTCACAGTGTGCTGAGTCTCGAAGAAAGATGGCCTCAAATAGACCTGGGCATGAAAGATGTCCTCCACCTACTCTGATGAGCCGTTGTTATGGAGATCAGGGGACCCCATTTATTATTTCTATAGGTACATGTTCGGCACCCTCCTTTTTAGTGTAAATCATCTATGGGAATTTGAAATCCACTAGTAATTAAAAGGAAGAGATTCACATACTGATGCTTATAGTTTTCATGTAATGACTTGACTAGTTTAATCAATCAACATTTATGCAATTCAATATAGTTTCTTTCAACATAGCTGTGGTTTGCCCCTGTGATCACTCAGAGTGTGTGGTTTCCTTTGACTCACAGGTAGACACCACATACTGAAATTCACAGACCAAATCCTGTAAACATTTTAGCATTATTCCTGACAGTATTTTAACATTCTACCAAGTCACTAGAATTAAAGTAACAAATATGGTTGTCTTGCTGTAAAGGACCTATTTCATTTATGAAAAGATAACTCATTTCTAAGTATATACATAATCTTATAGTGTCTCCTAAGTGCATAGTGTAGTGAGTTTAAATAAGGTAGTTATAATTTAAATATATTTATGTCTAACCTGCAGATGCTATTTTGTTATTTTTGGCTGTCTAGCATTAACTAAATTCAAAAGTTTAAAATATTTTTTCAGTAGTCTTTAATTTCTGCTAATAAATAGTTCCGTAAAAACCTCAACTACCCATCACCTTAAAAAAATTGAGATCTACATGAAATATTTGAAAATATAAGCCAACAGTATGTGAATATACATATAAACACATCATTTACTCATGGAAAAATAAGCAGCTATAAAAGCTTAAGTGTGTCTGGGCCTCTTTTTAAATAAAAGGGTACGTGACTTGTGAATAAAATGTAAAGGTTTACTAAATGAAAGCTGAAAACATAATAGTTTTATTATGTCATAAATACACCAAAAATTCCCAGTGGAATTTTGCTCAAGGTTTGTGAGTGTCCAGGTATTTTTCCCATAAAATCTACACGATATTGTAGATGTGTGTCGTTGAACAGAAACCTTGTCTGCCAGTGGCAATGAAATCCAAATGGTGATTTAAACTTATTTTTGTCTTATAAACAATGCTTGACATTGGTAAAGGGAGTTTTTACATAAAAGTCTGTGGAGAACATTCACACACATAATACTTTAACCCTTTATGATATTGTGTTAATTTAAAATGCCTTCAAATACTTCATGATGACAAATGCTTATAGGCAGAAAAGGAACTCCCTTATACATTCCATCCCACTATTTATAAATGTTCATGTCTGAGGAAGTTGTTACTGATATTAGTGAGGCTGACAAAATGATACTAACCAACTAATGCATAATTGCAAATTATGAGTGTGCTATATAATTAAGTGCATTCATCAATCTTAAATAGATACCCAAGAGTTGAGAAGAGACTGATAATTGACGTATGGATCATTTTGTCTTTCAAAAGAGTATTTGAGGTTCAAAATGGGGGAGTAAACTTAGCCTATGTGACTAGAAATCAGTTGAGAAGCAATGGCAATTCAAAATATGATTTATGCTTTTTAGTAATTTTTCAATTGATATACTTGAGGAGGGAGTTTCTTTAAACCATGATAACATTGTCTTTTACTTCCTTCAAGTTGAAGGAAAAAGTAATTGAGGCTCTTAAAAAGTGTGTCTTAGCTTGAAGCAAAGTAATAGTTTCTACAATATTTCACCTTCTACACCTTGACATTGAGCCCCAGATAAATAGTGCAGGTATTTAGAAAATATAACTTGAGAATGCTATTTAAAATAATATTCAGCATATTTAAATCCACAAAAATTTAAATCTTCAACACAAAATAGACAAGAAAATATTATAGATTCTAAAGCACTTGGAACACAATAGAATATCTTTGAAAATTATATTTTCTATTAATCCTGAGACAACAGTAGAAACTGGTAGTAGGCAATGGATAATACTGTATTTTGGTCCTGCTGATTTAAATTTTTTTCTTTTCCCGTTTAAGTTAATCCGATAAAGTCTTACTGATATTTTGCTGTTGCTAACCTGCTGTTTGCTAATCTGTATTTTTCTGAAGATAGACTGAATAGAAAATTCAGGCTTGTGTTAATATAAAAGAAGAGCTATAAATTCAATGATAAGATTTAATTAATCTTTTATTATTACCATCTTTGAAGTTCAGGTAATAAATTGCAGACTTGGCCAAAAGTACTTCTTCTGATTCATTGCTGGAGGCCAGCACTTCATGTATCATCAAAAGTGGACAGCTTTCTTTATTTCATGGGTTATTTAACTCGAGAAAGGGAAAGTAACACAAACCTTAAATTTCTTATTCCAGCTATTCTTTTTTAGGAGCCAAAGTCAACATTTGTATTTCCCTAGAGCATCTCACTTTCACTGTGGAATGTTTAGAAACTGAAATTTCTTCTTTTTTAATGACCAACTCGTCTGTGCGAATGCACTGAATTTGTTGAGCTAATGCTGTTTTTCTGGATCTTTCCTTCTTTCCCTGTCTGTGCCTCAATGCCTCCCCAACTTTGCAATGTAGCAAGCTGAGCAGTTGTTCAATCAGATGTACAACCCAGTAAGTCATTTCTGAAAGTTCCCGCTGTAACATATCAAAGCATGAGGATCCATTGATCACCAGTCACGGTGTGCCATACTGGGGAGGTTTTGAAAATATTTATGAGTTTCTTCCCCTTTCCGTTCTGTCAAAAGAAATGATCTGTGCTGAGGCCACTGCCATTTCTTATGAATGTGAAATTTAAAAATTAATAACTCAAGAAAATATTGCCAACTCTGATATTACCTCCTTCTTAACCTCAGCCCAAAGACTGTAGAAAAACAGAAGTCAGCTGAAGATCTAGGCTTATGGAACTCTTCCTTAAATCCTTCAAACTCAAGCATATCTAGGCTGAAAGGGATAACAACATTTGTAAAACAGCAAACAATTCAATGTTTTATTCAAGTGATAGAAGTTAAAACAGGTTTAGATTTAAAAATAGGGCTATGGTCTTTGAGATTGGTAAATACCTAACATTACTGTGGATTTTGTAACAGTTAAAAGCATGCCATTTGGCTGAGGACAAACCATAATATAGTCTCCTAATAACAGATAGTAACAATTCCGATTATAGCTTAATAGAGTACAAAAAAAAAAAAACAATGAAAAAACAGGTAACTAGTAAAAATATTTCTAAAATGATCCAGGTGCCACCACGAATTTTTTTTATCCTAGTGACATGTGTGCATTTATTAATAGATGAAGCAGTTTGTTTTTAACTTATTAAAGAAGAAAAGCTTTTTTGTTCTGTGAACTTAAGTGGCTTACTGGGAAAATATTTCTTAAAGGTGGCTAGAGTTTATCGTTTGGCAGATGCGATCTGTGCTATCATGCATTCTAATCACCTCCTATGTATAAATCCCCTTATGGAAAAAATGAATAGCATATAGATAAAGTAAACAATTCCACCAACAACTTTTTATTTGTTAAGCCACTGCTTCAGGATACATACAGCTTGAGCTGCAAGATGTTCAGGTGTACTTAGTTAGATTCAGCCTCCACCCTCCATTCTTTACAACACATTTTATTTTTGCAAACAGAATTCCTAAAACCCTGCTGGAGCATCTTTGTTAACCTCTTTTTCAAAATGCGGATTTTAGCAGAGAAGCAAAAAATAATCAGTTCAAGTTCTTTTCCCTTAACGTTTGAATATAAGTGCTAATAAGCAGGCTCAAGACAGTGGAGATGTGAAGAAAGACAAATCAGGTTGGAATATCTTCAAGCTCGAAAACTCACTCTGGGAAAAATGAGTGTTTAAAAAATGTTGTTTAAAAAATGAGCGAAATAATTCCACCGCAGTTGTTTCATACTTACTAGTTAGGAACAGGAAGAAAACCAAAGAATGTCATGTTTTGGGTGTGTGCAGGACAGATGGGGAGAACCTTGTTTCTGCAGCAGCAAAAATATAGCAGGACCATGCTAGGAGTTCACTCTCCCTGTCAGGATAGGGAGGACCAAAGAAATAACTCTTAGTTAGCTTTTAGACCATTTCTAGAAATATCAGTGACATGGCATCATCAACTTTTACTTCACTTCACCCCAGTGGTGCGTCTCTAATATGCCAGTGTGAACTTTTCAGTCTTTTCAGTGACTAATTCAAAAGTCATTGACTGACTTTTCTCCTCAAGTTAATTAAACTAACCCATTGGTTTGGCATCCCGGGAATATAGCCAAACTCTCATTATTTTAACTCCCCCTGTCTCGGTGTCGAATTCTTTTTTGGACTGATAGGGATGCAGCATGATGGATTTTCTACCCTTAATTGTCTTTTAAAAATGACTATGTTTTTCTTAGTTATAAAAATAATATATGGTCACAGTTGAGAATTTGCAAACATATGGACGGCTATAGAGGAAAATTAAAAAATAGGACATCTCACGGCACAGAAATAATTGCTGGAACATTTGGATTGTTCTCCACCTAGACATATTTTTGTTGTTGCTGTTCTTTTTCTCTCTTTTTCTTTTCTTCTTTCCTCTCTCCTCTTGCCTTCTCCTTCCCTTTACTCCTTCTTTCCTTCTCTCTCTCGTGTTCCTTTTTCTTTTCCTTATCTAACACTCTACTTCAAAGTGTTTATTTAGGTTTATATATATTTTTTTACATTATTAGAATTTTCTCATATAATGAACTATTCCTCCAAAATACTATTTTAATGATTGTATACTATTCTACTCTATTTGCTTTTTCCCCTAATGTTGGTAATTTCTTCCCCCAACATCTTTTTTTTTTTTTTTTTTTTTGAGACAGAGTCTCGCTCTATCGCCCAGGCTGGAGTGCAGTGGCATAATCTCGGCTCACTGCAAGCTCCGCCTCCCAGGTTCACGCCATTCTCTTGCCTCAGCCTCCTGAGTAGCTGGGACTACAGGCGCCCGCCACTGCGCCCGGCTAATTTTTTCTATTTTTAGTAGAGACGGGGTTTCACCATGGTCTCGATCTCCTGACCTTGTGATCCGCCCGCCTCGGCCTCCCAAAGTGCTGGGATTACAGGCGTGAGCCACCGCGCCCGGCTTTTTTTTTTTTTTAACTTAAGACAAGGTCTCACTATGTTGCCCAGACTGGTCTCAAACTCCTGGGCTCAAGGGATCCTCCTGCCTCAGCCTCTGGAGTTGCTGAGACTACAAACATGTGCCACTGTGCCTGCCTCCTTCCTGCACCAGTGATTTGAAAAGATCCCAATAGTTCCTACTATGTTGAGTTTCCGAGGAATTCTACCAAAGCATGCTTCTTCCAGCACTGATTAAAGATGGCCTTTCTGCCGCACCCTGGCCAACATTGAGAATTGGCATTGTACATAACTTTGACACATGCTTAGGTGGAAAATTTTTTCCTTTTTAACTTTTCTTTCTTTAATTGCTACTGAAGTTGAGGTTTTTCAGTACATTTATTAGCTTTTTGTATTTTTTCTTATGTAAACAGTTTAAATCAGTTGAGCACTTGCTTTTGAGCTTACTGTTTTGTTCATTAGTTTATATGAGTTATTCTGTGTTTTATATAGAATTTTTGCCAGATTTGTGACAGTTTTATTTAGCTTAAATTTTTTTTATGTATATAGAGAACAATTTTTAGGTTATTGACCTGCACTTTTCTTTAGGCTTTCCTCACTGCCTTTATTCTGGAAAGTATTCTCTGATTTCACTTACCTATATTTAAAATGTTTTAATGTTGCTTTTTATATCAAGTTAAGCCCTTTATCCATCTTTAGTTTATTTTTATTTATGTTGAGAGGTGAGGTTCTAATTATATTTTTCTAAATTATCAACTGATTATCCAGCACCATGTATCAAACAGTTCTCTCTTTGTCCACTGATCTTGTTACTGTTTTATTGAATATGATGTTCTCATTTGGGTGAATGTCTTAGTTTCTAAGCATCTGTTCAGTTTTATCGATGTCTCTAATTTGTTGGGTCAACATTTTAACTATTGTGTCTTTATTATATTTTTAAATATCTAGTAAAACAAATTACACCTTAATTCTTTCTGCTTTTCATTTTGTCTTATTTTGTTTGAAGTTTTTAGCCTTTAATTGTCTATCATTCCAAGTAAATTTTAGGATTACTTTGTCAATTAAAATGCAGAATTGTTGATTTTAATTATATTTAATCTATAGAATAATTTTAGAATTATTGATATGTTCCCAATATTATTTTTTTCCATTCATAAACATGATCCAACTTGTATTTATTCCAGTGGTTTTTTTACAGTGAAATTTTAATATTTTCCTGTTACAGATCCATGATATTTCTTCTTAAAGATAGTCTTAAGCATATCTATATATATTTAATTTTTAGGTTGCTATTGTGAATGATATATTTATTATTTTATTTTCTAATCAGTTATTGATAGCTAGGAAATTTCTTTTATTCTTGTATGTTTATTTTCTATATGGCCACCTAACAAATTTTTGGTGAATTATAGTATAGTTGTTTTTTGTTAAATAAGATAATTTTATAGTCAATTCTATGTCTGACAGTCTACACTACATTAGAGTGAACAAGGATTAAACTTTTAAGTGCTCCTGCAAGTATTATTATTTCTAGAGTAGAAAGGAACCTTTTACTTTTTATCTCCTTTTACTTTAGTCACTCTATTGCACAAAGTGATATCTAATGACATTTCTTAGGAACCTAAAATTTTGCCTTGATATCATTATTTTTCTTATAACCTTTCTGCAGCTTAACTATCATTCTACTCCCGGAGTTTTGTCTTATTATTGTAAACACTGTGCAGGTTATCTTCAGTTCTTTTTCTTCCCTTGATTCTTAATTCTAAACAAATAATATGTGTTTCATCAGTCTCAAATACCTTCTTTGCTGTAGTCCTTGTGGTCATTTTAGGCAGAGATGGTGTCAGGAGTCTTTCAAAAAATTTTAATAAATCTCCAGACCTTCTGGGTCCCTCAGTTTAGTGCTTCATAGAATACCCTTGTTGGTACAAGGCAAATGACTGATTTGTAGGCACTGGGCACAACCTTGCTGTTGGCCAGGGCACATTTGAGACACCTCTGATGTTCCCCACCATTGGGGCCCCCAATCCCTAGTAGTTATCCATTTGAAATCCTATCTCTTCTCAATACATATTTAGCAGGGTTCACATTTTACATAAGTGTTTACAAAAAACATAACAAAAGCCAAAAAGCAGGCATTTTTCATTCCAGAGAGATAGAAAAAATTCTTGTTAATGTTCAGTGAGGTCTTCCTGTTTTGTAGGTCATTACAGGACTGTATAATCCCAGGAACATAATGGGCTGAATTATAAATGCTTTCACAGTCATTGTTTGGATATAGCAGTTTCTTTTTATGATTTTTAAAGCCTATTTCTGAAAAGTATTTGATTCACTCTTAAACCAGTTATCTCCCAGCACAGCGGAAAGTTGCAACTTTTTAAGAGATAATTCCAGGCATGCACATAGCATGTGTAAACATATGCATACATACAAACACACACCCTGTAATTGATCCATGCTTTCAGTGTCTAAGAAACTCAACTAATATTTGCAATAACACTCAACATTTGAAGCCACA